GATTGGGAGGTGAGGCTGCGTCGGCCCGTGATGTGACAGTCTGGGGTCAGGAGACGAGGATTATTATTGGATACGGACCGTGTGAGTGCACTATTGGATGCACGGTGAATAGCAGTGCAGCCACCGGGAGGGACTATATCTCCATTGGAACTGGCAATGGCGCGGCTATCTGGATTGTGAACCCTAATGACCATGATGAGCTGATGCCGGTTGGTGCGGTGGGTGAATTGCTGGTGGAAGGTCCAATTGTCGGCCAGGGCTACCTGAATGATCCTGAGAAGACGGCGGCGGCGTTTATCGAGGACCCGAAGTGGCTGGTGGCCGGCCATCAGGGCTACGCTGGACGTCACGGAAGAATGTACAAGACTGGAGATCTCGGAATGTATGATCCCGATGGATCTGGAGGTATCGTTTTTGCGGGACGAAAGGATACCCAGGTTAAGCTCCGCGGACAGCGTGTCGAACTGGGAGAGATCGAGAGTCAGCTCAAGGCCAGACTGCCGTCGGAAGCCACGGTCATTGCGGAGGTGATTGTGCCTCAGGGATCCGGCGGCCAGGCGACCCTGGTAGCCTTTGTTGCCTCTCAGGCCAGTAAGGGCATCGACAGCACAGAAGTCACCTCGGTAGAGCTTCCGGAGGAGCTGAGCAAGACACTGTCTCAGGCCGATGCGGAGGTAAAGAAGGTGTTGCCCCGGTACATGGTGCCTACAGCATACATTCCCGTCAGTCATGTTCCGGTCTTGATCTCCGGCAAGACGGATCGTCGACGACTGCGTCAGTTTGGCACCACTGTGGACCTGCGCGAGCTGGATCAGGGTGCGGCAAGCACCGCCCATCGAGAGCTTACTGAGCTGGAGCAGCGTCTGCGACAGGCCTGGAGTCAGACCCTGAAGGTTGACGCCGAGACCATCCGGCCAGACGACAACTTCTTTGCCCTGGGTGGTGACTCTTTGGCTGCGATGAGACTGGCATCAGTTTGTCGGGCGCAAGGCCTGGATCTGTCAGTCGCCAACACATTTGGCCATCCTACTCTGTCTGCTATGGCCAGTAAGGTCCTTATCTGCGATGTTGAAACCCAGACCGAAATTCCGCCATTCTCATTGATCTCCCAAGCTGCCGAAAGCGCCTGTGAGGAGGCTGCTCAAGTATACGGGTTCGACAAGGCAGCCATCGAAGATATTTATCCCTGCACCCCAACGCAGGAGTCTCTGTTTACCTTCTCGCTCAAGTCAGTCAAGGCATATGTTGCACAGAGACTGGCGTGTATTCCAGCCGACGTGGATCTCGACGCCTGGAAGCACGCCTGGGAGGAGGTCGTCTCAGCCATTCCAATCCTGCGCACCCGTCTGGCTCAGCTCCAGGAACCCGGCCTGCAGCAGGTCGTCCTCAAAGATGGAATCACCTGGAAGCACTCGACTGATCTAGCCCGGTACCTCGAGGAAGATCGTGATGAGAAGATGAACCTCGGAGAAAATCTCGCTCGTTATGCTATCATCGATCATCCGGCTGATGGCAAGCGATACATGGTCTGGACAGTCCACCATGTTCTCTACGATGGCTGGTCCGAACCTATCGTGCTGAAGAAGGTCAGCGAGGTTCTGCAACGCCAGCAGCCCAAGGTGGAGGCTCAGATGCGGGACTTCGTCAAATATGTGCGTGACACCGACGAAGCCGCTATGGAGGAGTTCTGGCGTCGCGAACTGAAAGGCGCTGTCGGACCTCAGTTCCCGCGTCTGCCTTCACGAGACTACCTGCCCATCCCAGATGGTATGATCGAACGGCACATCAACTTGGAGACGAATTCTGGGTCTCCTTTCACCATGGCTACCCTTATCCGGGCTGCTTGGGCACTCGTAGCGTCTCAGTACACCGGCAACGACGACGTTGTCTTTGGCGAGACGCTCACTGGTCGAGACATTCCGCTGGCGGGTGTTGAGAGCATTGTCGGTCCCTTGATTGCCACAGTTCCGGTGCGCATCCATATCAACCGCGCTGGCACCGTTGAATCGTACCTCCAGGCCGTGCAGCAAGGTATATTGTCTCGAACCCCGTACCAGCACATGGGTATGCAGAATATTCGTAAGGTCAGCCATGATGCCCAGCATGCCTGTGAAGCACCCACTGGTTTAGTTGTGCAGCCGGAGCCCGAGTACGCGGGCAGCGAGCTTGGCTTCGAGGTTGGGGACGTGGTGCGCGAAGCCCTTCATTTCAACCCTTACCCACTCATGCTGGGCTGTGGTATCAAGAAGGGTGGCTTCCGCATCTGCGCCAGCTTTGACAGCAGTCTCGTCGAGATTTCGCAGATGGAGCGCATCCTTGCGCAGATCGAAGTTGCTTGCTCGCAGCTGAGCCAAGGTCTCACCCGGAGAATTGACGAGATCTCCTGTCTCCCAAAGGCTGAATTGGATCAGATCTGGCAATGGAACCAAATGGCCCCGCTGTCCCTGAATGAGTCTTCAAAGAGACTTCGCGCCGAAGAGGGCATCAAGGAAGGGTCTAAGTATCCTCCTGCTGTGGTTCCCTGGGTTTGTGATGCACGCAACCCATCTCTCCTCTCACCCATTGGCTGCGTTGGCGAGCTCTGGCTGGAAGGGGTTATTCTTGCTGGCGAGACGGTAGACTCACCTGCATGGCTTGTGTCAGGTAGTTCTGGGTACCCTGGTCGTACTGGACGGGTGCAGGCTACAGGAGACCTGGTCCAGTGGCGCGAGGATAGTAGCCTGGTGTTTGTGGGCCGAAAGGAGAATGTCGTGTCGGTGAAGGGACACGCTGTGAATGTTGCGGAGGTCGAAGCCCAGTTCACCAAAAACCTTCCTTCTACTGTTCGTGCCGCTGCGGCCGTGTCCCAGCCATCGTCTGAGCTGGAGCCCGAGTTGGTTGTCTTCATCGAGCAGCCAGCTTCCATCCAAGATGGTCTGGAGCTGCTGCCCACACAACAGGAAATCCGCTGCGATGCGGACTCCCAAAGCTTTGAGGCAACTGTCTGTGCCTCGATCTCCGTCAGCCTGGCCGTGGCATTGAAGAAGCTCGACAAGTTCATCCACGACTCACTCCCATCCTATATGGCGCCCTTTGCCTACATCGTGGTGGACCGGGTGCCCAACCATAACGTCCTCAACCAACTCGCCTCCAGCATTTCGCGTGACATGCTCGTTCAACTGAGGGATGCATCTAAGCAGGCATTGGCCAAGGCCGCCGCGCAGACCAACCTGACATCTTCCGAGGCCATCCTCCGGTCCGCGTGGGCCGCCATCCTCAAGCTCAGCCCCGAACAAATCGACGTTGATGACAACTTCTTCCGCCTTGGCGGTGACTCTGTTCTTGCTATGAAGCTTGTATCCAGCCTGCGTGCCCAAGGACACGGTCTGACCGTGGCCGATATCTTCCAACGCATGCGTCTCGGGGATGCTGCTAAGGCGCTGCGAGTGAATGTTGTGTCAAAGGAAGAGAAGGTCCAGCCTTACCATCCCTTCTCGACTATTGGCCAGCAAGACAACCTGGAGTCCTTCTTGTTCGAGGTGATCCGTCCCAAGTTGGCGAACCCTGAGTGGTCTATCCGTGACGTCCTCACAGTCACCGACATCCAAGCCCTCGATGTCCGCGGCACTGTCCAGGCACCGCGCACTTCCATTCAATACACCATGTTATACTTCGGCCAGGACATCAACCGCGAACAATTGCACCGGGCCTGCCACGAGCTCGTCAAGGCACACGACATCCTGCGCACCGTCTTCGTCGAGCACGACTCCAGCTTCCTCCAAGTTGTTCTCGATGATATCACAGCCCCCATGGCGATTCACCAAACCACATCCACTCTCGAAGACGAAGTCAACTCAATCTGCAAGACACACTCTGAGACCGCCTTCCAGCTCGGCTCCTCTTTCACCCAATTCCTTCACATCGAACACACCCCGACCCAGCAATCCTGCCTCATCCTCGGTCTCTCGCACGCCCAATACGACGGCGTCTCTCTGCCCTTGCTCCTCCGCGACCTCGAAACCCTCTACACATCCGGCCAAATCCCCACCCCGACTCCCTTCTCCTCCTACGTCTCGCACACCCTCTCGCCGACACCTCAGAGCAAAGCCCTCACCTACTGGAAGAACCTCCTCCAAGGATCTACCCCCTCCATTCTCCCAACTCAACAACAAGCCCAACACCAAGGCTCAAGATCCATTTTCCACACCGCTCCCATCCCTCTTCCCTTCCCCTTCAACCTCGAAGGAATCACAACCGCCACCCTCCTCACCTCCTCCTGGGCGCTCCTCCTCGCCCGCCGTCTCGAAACCCAAGACATCACCTTCGCGACCGTCACCTCGGGCCGAACCCTCTCTTCCCTCCCCAACCCAGATTCTATCGTCGGCGCCTGCTACCAGCTCACGCCCACCCGGGTCCAAATCCAACCCAGCTGGCAGGCAATGGACTTCCTGCGCGCCGTGCAGTCGCAGGCTGCGGAATCTGCCGAGTATGATTTCCTGGGTCTAGACAAGATTGGCAATGCTCTGAACTGGGACAAGAGTGTTGGGTCCGTGGTTCATCACCAGGACTGGGATGATTTCGATGAGATGCCTTTTGCGGGAGGCAAGTGCAAGGTTGATATTTTGAACCCGGATGGTGATGCGGCCGATCCGATGAAGGTTGTTTCGTTTGTTAAGGAAGGTGTCATGCATGTTGGTGTTGTAGGTTGGGAGGGAGAGGAAACTGTTGTGAATGAGGTTTTGAATGAGTTGGTTGGTGTTGTTGGGGAATTGGTTGGTGGTGGTGAGGTGAGGGTTTGATTGTCTGATGTTTTGTTATATGCGTATGTTTGAACGTTGCGTATATCAATTAGATTAGAGTCAAGTTTTTAGCAAAGTAGCTACGATAATAAAATGGCTTTATTACTTTGATTACTTTTGTAGTCCGTGATATGGAGCGGGGAGGATGAGGTCACGTAAATATGTACCGCCGCCATTTACAAGGTCGGTTGTGTACTTCTATGCTCAATTGTAGCGTTCAGCCTCGTTGGTAAACTGTCTTCCGAGTTCTATTGATATTATATACATCCTAGAAGAAATCCTAGGCCTCTAATGAACTATTCGACTGTCCTAAGCTATGTTAGAAAACCCGTCCTGACAGGGTATATAGTCCCACAATGATAGCAGGCTTTTGCAATAAGATCAGTCGACGTCCACTTTCCACAACTCTGACGCATCAAATATCGTCTCCTCCATCCAACATCCTAACTCTTCCAACCCCAACACCTCCCTCAAGTACCGTCTTGCCAGCTCTCTCTGTCCGTTCGCCCGGCCCAGGTAAAACACAGCATCTTCCGCCGGGTTCGCATGTGCGGCCCGAATCTGCTGCGGCAAATGCTCCATCAGAATCAACAGCCAGCGCCCAAATGCATTATTCAAGCCCACAGCCCATTCTGTAATCTCCGGATCATCGGCCGGAACAGACTCCGCACTGGCGCGCACGAGAAGCTGAAAGAACGTTGTGTCATGCCGGGCGAACCGGACAGCCGTGCGAAAATGTTCTGCGGGGAGGACGTAAGGAACAGCAGTATTTGGATTGAGGGATTGGTTCTCGCTGCGGAAGTGGTATTCATCGATTTTGAGCAGGGTGGACAAGGCGGCTGTGTTGTTTTCGAGGAGGGCATTGTGGATGCCGATTTGCAGGGATTCATGGGACACAGAGACAGTCGGTTTGACGAGGTCGGCGCGGTTCAATCCGCTGGCTATGCGGAGGAGTTCGAGATAGGTGACGTGATCAGGGCTAGAGAGGTCTTCGACGAGTTTATCGGGGATTAGAAGAACGCCTAGGACGGGGTAGGTCGTTGATTGGTTGGTTTCATGGTGGGTGATTGTTACTGAGACTAGGGGTGCTACAGTAAGGGTGTAGCGATTGGCTCCGTTGCTGTCGGTTCCTTCGAAGACGCGAGTGTCTTCTTTCTGAGCGAGGAATCGGGTCAATGATTCTTGATCATGTGGGGCCATGCTGATTCCTGCACCGAACCAGTGTCGTTGAATGGTGAGGTTCATAAGGTCCGGCAGCTGCGCCAGAAGCCGCTGTATTGTGCACCATTTGCAGCGAAGGATGGTGTCCTGGAGGTGTCTCCGCTCCGCATGGCTGAGAGGGTGGTAGTCGACAGGTCGGAGAATCCTGGATATTGTGGCCTCTGTGGCCTGGTTTATAACTCCTGTAGTTGCATACAAGTCATCCCAAAACGCCAACAGGATCAACGCTCTGTATATGCGCTCACTTGAAACGGTTGCGCCTAGGGCTGAGGAACAGCGAGCGAAGTTCACATTGAGAGAGTATAGGAAGATCTTTTCAATCAACTCGACGGGGAGAGATTCCAGGATCGATTGCCGGGGTTTGGTGGGTTTGACGACGAGTAGACGAGCTCGTTTGTGGCTTCGCGCCTGAGATGATTCGAGCTTTGTCTGGTGAGATATCATGGGTCGCCCACCCTTGGGTCCACTGGGTTTTGGTTTGGGGGCTCCATCATCAGGGTATTTTCTCCTGCGACCGCGAACCCGTATGGGCGTGAGCATACCCGGCTAAGTATTTCCAGCTGGACTGCTTGGTGTGCTTCATCCATCCATATCTAGTGACTTGCTTAAGCATGGAAGAGGGCTTGGAAAGTTGAGGCATCGGAAATTGTTCTGGAACAGAGGCCCCGGTCCTACTTTGATCCGACTATTCCCCTCCCGAAGTAAGATAAATACTCCGTGCAGGTACCGGCTTATGGCTTCAAGCTACAATTGGGCATGGTCCGGACGCTTCTCCCCCTATTATCTGCACATCGAGTATATGGTATCCGGCTATCCATCTCTTTTATGGATTGATTTTTAGCGGCTCGGTGCAATGATATGATAGGGCAGGAATGCTCATTGACACACTAGCTACCGGTGCCAAGGGACGGCACTGCTAGCAGTGACTGGTATCACCCATGAATGGCAACTCAGGGACCACTGGGCTGCGATGAAAGGAACCAGAGAGGTCTTGGGGAAGAAGAGAGTATATTCTGAACGTGATCACATGGCTTCACCGCCAAGATTTACTGTACAGTTTTGAGAGAAGGCTAGTAGAATACATCGCTAGTGAAGGTTACGGGGGGTAACGAATAGCTCGAGACGTGTGCCAGGCAGATCCGATATGCCAGAGGAAAGGGAGTAGGGTAGCCCCTAGGTCATCCCATCACAGCCCGTCACAATATCGTTGCTTCAAGACAACGAAGCGCCTGCACCTAACTCAGCGGCTCGAACAGGTCAAAAAGTCCGCAATGAATTAAATGGTTACATTCAGACGCTGACTCACTGATATGTTGCCTCGTAGGCTGGGATAGTGGTTGACGACGCCACATTTCGACCCCCAATAAGAAGGCAGTGACATTACGTCCGCATGCTGGTGGATATTGGTCTTGATCAGCCCCGTCAACACAATCCTCCTAATTTGATTTGCATCCATCAGTTCAGTCATTTCTTCTTCTTTTCGAGATCCTTAATAAGCCTTGAGACATCCTCCACATCAGAACTAAGTTCTAGGCGGTTGTAAAGATCCTTGGCCTCATAATAATACTTCAGTGCCTCCTCTGGTTTATTATGGAACACTGCCAACTGTCCCAGCATAACCTTAGCCGACGCACAGCTGTAATCGCACTCCACAGAATCTTCGGAAGGTTCGACCTTCTCAGCCCTCTCAATCGCGCCCTGAGCCCACTTGCGTGCGGCCTCGATAGCCTCAGCACGCGAAACACCAGGGTCGGACGATGGTGCGACACCGTCTAGAGCTGGGTAGCCGATACAGCCACTGATGTTGTACATGAGGGTGACCTGCTTGCATGATGGAACCCCGCCTTCATTGGCATTGATGAGGTCAAAGGCGCGCAGATACAACGGCAAAGAAAGGTCCAACTTCCCCTTGGAGGCATAGTGTTGGCCCAACTCGGATAGAGCGGTTCCGATCTCCGTTAGAGTCAACCAGTTGCCACCGCCGATGGGGACCTTGGCTTGGTGTCGACGTTGCACTTCGCGGAGGGATAGTTGAACGGCAAATTCGAGCGCCTCTTCGGCCTTTTTGTCATCCTGGACATGATCACTCTTATATAGTTCCGCGAGCTTTACGGACATACCCACAACCTTGGCGAGAGTCTTCTCTACTTGTTCATATTCATAGATCTCCGCCTGCTTCATCTTCTCGTATGACTCTGCAATGGCGGGGTCGACCTTCATCGGCTCAGCGGCCAATTCGCCTTTCTCTGCAGAGGGCCCGCGGGCAAAGAAATAATCGCTTTCCCCCCTTTTGAATGCCTCTGTTTCCATATTCGTCTTCACCCAGTGATATGCATCTGCTCGTGTCTTCTCCAAGACTTGGATAGCAGCTGGCACTAGCCCCGCCATCTCTAGACACTTGGTTACTTGCAACCTGATTCCCATCACTTCGTCCGAGTAAGGGTGCATTTGCAGTTCCGCTGCTAACTTAATTGCCTCGCTGTATGCGTCGATAGCTTTGACGGGATTCAGCTTCACGTCGGTATAGTAGATTGCCGTACGGAGACGTTCTGCAACCGGTGGCGGAAACTTGTGGTATTGCGGGCCGACTTCTGTGGCTTCCTTGTAGGCGATGTAGCTAAAGATTGCGGTTGCGGTGGCGACGGAGAGGAGTGCGAGGGGAAGGAGAATGGGGTTATTGCGCCAAATGCCACGGGAGGCTTCCTGGTAACCGCGCTTCATCTTCTGCGCGAAGGAGAGGGGACGAGTCTGGATGGTGGTGGCTTGGACGGTTCGTAGGAGAGATGTAGGAGCAGCACCGGTCGGCCGTGAACGGAGGATGGAGGGTATTGTGCGTGTCGAGAACGACGAGGATGAGAATGCATGTTGATGATGGCGATGTGCAAGGGTCCTTGGAATGGCGACAGCGCGCCGGGATGCTGCGCCTAACATTGTGGGATGTGTATCAAAACTTTCAGGTTGATAGCACCGAGCTATTCTTTAGTTGTTGTACGGACAAGACAAGAGACTCTGGAGCTGCGGAATGCGGAAGCGGGACGGACAATGGATAGTCCGATTGGATCATCCCAAGCTTCATGGGCCGTCATAGTCACGTGCAAAGGGGTCGGGTCATTTGAGCTCTCGCGCGGAGGTCGTTTGACCTACAATTCATTTGTATTGATTGGCATATTTTTGGCCGCGACTACTGAGCCTCCGGGTCAGTGGACCAGTCCTTCATGTGGACCTATTGAAGAAATCTTCTCCCATTTTCCTCCCCCCTTTTCCCCCCAACAGCCATCGATTGCCTCACGTCTCCAACCTTTGAAAAGCGAAAGACTGTACATCCCCGAGTATCCGCATAAGGATGGCCAAATCCGCCAGGCGAGGCCCCAAGGGCAAGGCCTCAGTTACTCCCTCCGCAACCTCGTCGGGAACTTCCACTCCCAGCTCGCAAACTGGCCCTATCCCTCCGTTCGTTCGAGCGCCGGAATCTCTGAAACCGCTCCTCGACTCGCTTTCTCCGCGCGAAGTCTACCTTATCCACGTTGATACCTGCCCGGTGGACATCAAGAAACAAACCTTCATCGTTCCTTGTGCAATTAATGCCATCGTTGTCGGTCTCCTCGCTTTCCGAGTCTACATGGTCCGCAACATGTATCCTGCCATGATAGCAGCGCTGGTCGGGATGAACAGCTCTATGACTGTGGACACAACGACAATGGACTGGGCCGAAGTTTTCATGGTGGCTCTGCGTCGCATAGGAACAGTTCTTTTTGATTACTTCCTGTTTACTATGTTCCTGGCCTGGCCTATCCGCTTCCTCTTCGGAGCAGTCAGATGGCGACGCAACATCGGCTTCCAGCCACACGAGATTATTGTTCGGCGAAGCCAACCTGACATGACTCAGGGCCTCAAACGTGATCGCTGGATCCGTGAAGACGAGGAAACACGAGACAAGATCGTTGCGGCGGTCACGCCGGAGCGTATCAGAAAGACGGGATACCTGCTTATAGATCAGGACTTCGACCTCGATTACAACGCCATGATTAAGGCTCACGAGATGGTCGACAATCCGAAATCGGACGATAAGGTCTCATTGGAAGAGTTCCGCACGGCAGTTTTAGTGAACACAGATGCCCATGGCTGGTTGATCTGGCATGTCGGAGATGAGAACGAGAGGAGTAACCCCGATACTATCAATATCCCAGCCGACCCGGCCCGATCTGCCCAAAGAGATCAGATCTTGGTGTTCAAGGACAAACTGACAGCCATGGGCAAGGAGGATCTTTTCTACCGGTGGGTTGAGTTAGTCCAATACGAGAGTACCCAGCCGGGCGGGTTCACGCCGGAAAGGCAACAGTCCGCCATGCTTCAGGTAAAGCAGCTCTTTGAAGAAAACGATGTCGATTTCTCCAAGTTCTGGGAGGATGTGGGTGGGTTGGAGGAGTTCACCGAGCAGCTTGATTAGTGACTGCATCTCCGCTTCGTATATGTATCTCTCTTCCATTCCATCCCTGTCGATCCAATCTATTACAGGGATCTCGAGGGAGTCAGGCGTTCGAAATCGCGCGAAGTGTGCGATTCGACTTACCTCTTCGAACCCCCTTCCCTCCCATGAGATGGGCCGAACTGCGGGTGCCAGCCTGCTATACGCCTATAATGCACCGGCGAACGCCTGCGAGGAGTGCCAATAAGTACACAGGCAAGGACAACACCTACGGCAAACTCTCTACGGCAAAAGAGGACGCAGGCTTCCGGTGACGCTGCTTTGATAGCGGGAGATTCGTTTCACCCTGATAATCGGTTCCTTCTTGCTTTCCCCTCAACTCCGTCAATCGACTCTTGGCAGCCGCCAACTTCACTACACTATTGGTGCCAGAAAAATTTACCCAAGACGATCCCGTAGGAGTATCCGAACGGACGGGAATCCCGCCTCCTCCCATCACTGCGCACCGGGTTTGGTACCTTGCAGCTGACTACAGCAACGGGTGCCGCGGAATCAAAGTGGGATTAGCCTGCGTTAATTTGCAGGAGGATAGTTGATGACCTCTCTTGGGGGTGGTGGAACTGTTTTATAGATCAAGGTCTTAGTCTCCAGAATGTATGTTGTATACTGTGTATTAAGGCTGCGTATGCTCTTGAAGAGCGAAGGTACTGCTTAATGGACTATTTCAAAAAAAAAGTGAGCTGCACGCATGTTCTTCAAATTATCGGGACATATTAGCAACAAGAATACTCCTGTTAGCTCGAGAGTAGCATATACCATATCTATGGAAGTCAATAGCACAAATACAGCACAATACCATCTGCTGCCCATCGTCCGGCTGACGGCTTGGGCTTGAGCCGTCATCACTATCATTTTGCGTCTCCGTGGATTCTCTACCATGATTCTTATTGATTGGTTTCTTACTTTCCGTGTTCTGCTTTCTCAACCTCTTCCAACGCCTTCCGTATCATCTCCTGCGTACTTTCCCTGGGAAACTCCCGTTGTGCCGTCTTCAGTCCATCTTTCCAAAGGCGCCATCTATCCATGTGCATATCTCGGCGCGGAGTTTGGTCCTCATCCCCGAAGAGCCGCCCAACCTGACAGTTCTCCCATACGCGCTGACCGGCGTATATATACCAGATACATGCCGTGCGTACGGCCTCCTCTATTAACGGCCCTTCCTCAAACGCTGATCGACATGAATAGAATGCATACAGAGATGCGTCTAAAAGATGGCGGAGGTGCTCTACTCTCCTCGTAAGGTGCGCCATGAAGGCATTCCGGTTCTCCCATTCCTGAAGGTCACTTGGAGGATACTCCTTTTGGGGATCTTCATCTACCTTCCGGGCATATTCTGACGGATTTAGTCGCGGGATTAACCAACAAAATGAATTAGGGATGAAGGGATGATATACCAGGCTTGAAATTGAAATAATAGCAATCAGTCAAATATATGCTCAGGTATGGAACCTCAGTCCATAGCTTGAGATCAACAGCGGTTGGCTCTTCGCCTGTGACAGGATCAATGACCTTGGTACGTTGTAGCTCGAAAATGAAGTCGATGAGTTTGTCCTGCTGATCTGGTGGAGTGATGTTTGCGGTGTCCACAACTTTGGTCATGGCATACCACGTATGGTTACCATCGATATCAGAGGGGGATTCGGATTCCTGTCTCTCCTGGTGTAAGACTTCGCGAACGCGAAGGAGTTTCTGGACTGCCTCGGCGGGGGATACAGTAGGGTTTTGAACTAGCTCATCGATGACTGGATATTCCGGTCGGGGAAGTGAATCTTCATTGAGGCCTTCCATGGGGAGGGATGGACTTGAGAGTAGGGTGTTGGAGTTAGGAGGCTGAAGGGAATAAGTGTTCCAGACATGACTTGAGAGGTTTAAATAAAGGGCGTTGGGGCTGTGTAGAAGCGGCCAGCACTAAGAATTGTTCAGCCAACAACTAATTCCAACACGCCACCTTCGCCGTCCAGCAAAAGAGCATGGAATGTAAGGCTGCCCCACTTTACGCAAAGCAGATCCCCTCATCTGACAGGATATCCCAAGGAGAAAGGATGCTGACTGCCGCTGGCCGGTAACTTAGCTACAGCCTCAAAGATCGCCCGGCCCCCATTTTTTTCTTGTGGACCAAGTCGCTCTGCTAACCTATAAACAGAGATATGAGTAGCATAAGATAAGTAGTATACGACCGTTCAATACTGAGTCACCATTCAAAACCCTTGTGTACTATAAGATTTTCGCCAATGCAGGCTAGAGCCCCCGCCTTTTACGTACCCTGGAACTGGCAGCCAATTAACCTTGGCCCTGCCTGTCTACCTACTTGATCTAATTATATCGATCTTACTTACCTGACCACCTAGGCCTGTCTACCTAGAGCCGACCTGCCTGCCTCCCTCCCTACCGGACCTACCTGGCCTACTCCAATCTAGTCGTCACCTTCACCACTGATCTTCACATCGAAAGAGCCAATTATTTCAGAAGGTGCCACAGTACGGCCTGGCGGATTAATTATATCGTATATGTCGTTACAGTAGTCGTCTTTATAGAGAAAGACATGTTCATCAGAGGCAAGCTGTGAGATATAGACAGTGTCTTCACTTTGGAAATTAGCCCGGGTGCAGGGCTGTGCTCCCTGGCCTATCCAGATATCGGATGGTGCATTGATTCTCCACGCAGATGTGGCTCACACACAGGGAAAATGTGATAGCATTTGCGGCTTTGAGGCCCTTCATTTCGTGAATTGGGGTGGACTCAGGTCTGCTGACAATTAGATCCAGAAGTGTAAGAGGTGGATTGCTAATTTTCGTTCTATAAGCTCTAGTATACTGCGTGCAGTGTGTTAACTTACTGTTCAAGTAACTTGATCGATTAATAGATGAAGTGGATGGACAGGAAGAAAGCCTTAAGTTGAACAAGGTTGGGTATGTATAGATACTGTTGTCTATAGTAGTATGTGCAAAAATCCTGCGAGCGGAATGTATCAATTATATAGAGAAATGATGCAACAATGTTCGCTGCAAGGGAACTGGTATTTGCCAGTTGCGGTACAAATAGCAGATAGATAATATGCTACTCTGAACAGAGTCTTTCTCACAAGAATGGGGCCAGGTCTTCTACGGTCTGCAGTAGATCGGTTAGAATGCTTGTGCAACTATTGTAACTTCCCCTTGCTAAGTGGAATGTACAGTCGGCTCTACTAAAGACGCAGGTAGGTAGGTGACCCTAACAAAATTGCCACTGGGGTTTGTAGTAGCTATCAAAGGTGCTAGAAGCAGGGATGGAAAATACCCGAAGCTGTCGCGCAACCTTTAACTGTATGGTAATTATATACCTTCTTGATTGGACTAGGTATCTGCAACTGCATTATAAAACCGAAGGATTATATAGACGGTGTCTCCCTTTGTCAGTCTCGGTACCTAAGTTATCTTCTAATTGAAGAAGGGGAAGCAGCTCCGTGCAACCAAAGACCGCGGCCATCCGATAGTTGCACAGCAGCAATAGTTGACCGAAATATTCCGGAATGCTCTGGGTCTGCCTACTCAGTGTTGATTTTCCCATACAACCTTATTAGCCTGTAAGGCTCCATCGTAAACCGCAACTCTTAGAGGCAGGATCGTTTGGCCCGGCAAGTATCACTGCATGAAACTATCTGAAAGAGATTCTGCCTGGACCATCGGCATTGGCAGCCATACAGCATGCACCATCAGGGTTCTATTTAGGAAGACCACAAAGCTCGGCCTACTTATGCCTCCGGGTTGCATGCCTTGACGTTATCAAATTCATCCCCGCATACCGTGCCCTTCTTAACCACCTATTTGGCTTCCCATGGTACTTCCCACATGAGCTCTCAAAGAGGAGGGCACGCCTGATTGTTTGAGTAGCCCACCAGTCGAGTAGTCTCTGTCCTGGACTTTCTGCGTCACGCATTGGTATAGATACTGTTTCAATGGAACCTAACACCAAGACACATGGTATGTAACATTAGTTCACCTAGTTCCGAAGTTCTGGCCTCTGTGGCTGCTCAAAGCCTAGATTGCCGATATATCTGATACCATAGTATATAGTTGGCCATATGTGGCAAATTATCTTATTCAGTTTGTCTTGGACTGCTCTAACAGGTATGGCTTCATCTGTCAGATCATGTAAGTAGGAGTGCATTCAGCACGCTATCATGCACATTCGCAATTGGCATTCCTAGATAGCAACTGGGAGGCTACATGATGCTACATGTCACACCGAATTTATTCTGCGCATTCGATGACGTCCTAGATGCTATGTAGGAACACTTCCTACACGGGGACCTAGAACCGTTCGGCTTGACCACCCGCCTATACATGTATGACGAAATAATCTGTAAAACTATCATCAGCTATGATATATGTGCTAAAGCTGCTGCACTCTGATCAGTGCTTCACGAGAACACGAAGTGGATGCTCAGTAGAGCGACATACTGACGGGGGGAGCGTAATCAAAGTCCATCAATGGACAGATTCGGACGGCAAATCGTTTCGCTTTAATGTCCCCGGATTTAGAAAGGGATAGAATGCTGATGATACATAGGGTAGTATAACTGCCGAATAAATATTAACGTTGCATGCAGATTTGAAATGTAACACCGACTATTATCGAACGAACAGACCTGCAAAAGGATTAATCCACAAAATAGCTGGTATATATAATAGTACTCTACATGCTGGCGAAGAGTTAGGAATTTGTGCACAACCCCTCTACATTTCCTGTGCTTACCACAATGTGGACACTATATAATCTGTCTCTTACTCTCCTCATCTGCTTCTCGCATACTGGTGCCACTCAGTTCCTTCAGACGGACTACTTGTCGCCTCGGGCAGAGAATGCAATTTACTACAATCAGGGTTGGAAAAACCTTAGCAGGGATGTTCTCTCCAGACCATATGATAGAATATCTCACGACGGAATGTACGTCATCTATTCCAACACACGAAGACCAATCTCTAAGGCTTTAAAGCATCAATTTAGGTCTCGCCGAAACCTGGCTGATGCAAGACACACTCAAGGATCTTCTGGATACAAGTGTAAAATTCCTTTTTTTACTTCTCCCTATCTGATTCACTTGTTAATTGATTGCAATAACAGTTCGTCATCGACCCGCTCTATCATTTAACCTACGGTCAGGGAGCTGCTGGCTCTCCCTTTCTTCGTAAAGCTGTTGCAGAATTCTTCAATGCCTATTTCGATCCGCGTCAGCGGGTTAATGAAAGTGAAATTATCATTGGTTCAGGTGTTACTGCTTGATTGACTCGATCGCATGGAACACGTGCAGCGATGATGAGGGGATCATCATTCCTCAACCTTTATATAACGGCTTTCCTACAGATACGCGACTGCGGAGCCAAGGCAAGCTGCTCCCTGCGTCTTTTGTGTGGGATAATGAGACCTACAATTTCGACAAGGTATTCGATGCGACAGCAATCAATGATTCCCTGGAACGGACTTGGAGTATTTATACGGAATCAACAAATAAGACAACGATTCGAGGTGTAGTAATTGCGAAGTATGTTACTACGGAGTAACTTTCTTGGACTTGGAATGGATGACTGACGAGAATTTCACAGCCCGCATAATCCACTCGGACGCTGTTATGTTAGCATGATCCCTCCGCATCCAACAATATATACCTTCGATTGCTTACATTGTTCTAGTCTAAAGACGCATTAATCGCCATCGCACGCTTCTGCGGTAAACATAAAATCCACTTTATCTCCGACGAGATTTACGCGAACACCGTCTTCAGCAACCCCGGGAGCAACGCTCCCAACTTTACTTCGGTTCTTTCCCTTGATCTGGATGACATTATTGATCCTAGGCTCGTCCATGTCCTGTATGGAATGAGTAAGGACTTTGGAGCAAGTGGGCTTCGACTGGGTGTTCTGCATTCTCGTAATGAGGATTTGATTCAAGCTGCTTACGGTGTGAAGTAAGTACACCCTTTCCTGTAATCAAGGCTGTGTCTAACATGAGCAATGTGTTAGCCTTTTCTCCTGGCCCTCCTACCTTGTCCAGGACATGTGGGGCCGTCTCCTCAATGACACGATCAAGACGCATGAATTCCTCGAGGAAAATAAGCGGCAGCTTGGGAAGGCCTACGGTACAGTCACTGACTGGCTTCGGAATAAGAGCATCGAGTATTATGATCAAGGGTCGGTCTTGCTTTCCTCCATAGGCTCTTCTAATTGCCCTCGCTGATACAACATAATAGAAATGCAGGACTCTTTGTTTGGGCCCGGCTCCTTCCTAATTCGACTGCTAGACCGGAGTGCTTCCTGGAGGTATGCCGTAACAATAGTGTTTGTGTCGGAAATGGAGAAAACTTTCTCCCTGAGAGTGGACAGACTGGATGGTACCGAATTACATTTTCGTATCCCGATGACATGCTCACGCGTGGGTTGACACGATTGGAGAAGGCTTTGAATGACACACCATCATCTTGTGAATAGATCCCGAAGTTAAAGGTTTCATAGAGGTGGGACACGGGACTGGATTAGGAGAATAAAACATTCAGCCACTGCAGCAATGATGTGGCCCTACAGAATGTGAAGATCATTCTGATGGCCCGGGTATTTTCTTCCGGCCAAGACATCCAACATATATCTCGTCGAAGGCCGGGGCTCAGAATTCCCCGGCTTTGAGCCTTATCAAAAAGATTCAAAGTCATTATTATATCGGTCAAATCAAAGAAAAGCAAAGTGGCGGTATATCTCCGTGTCACGACCCTTGTTCCGACAAGATAACCGGCCATCTTCATGGTTTCAAGTGGGTCAAGGTCGGCAATATCTACTTCAGACCAGCTAGACTGTTTCTACTCCAGAGCGACCTTTTAATTTTATCAGGATCATTCCTCGCTAGCAAGTAAAGTCCAACTCAGCACAAGATGTAGTCGGTTAATGGTAGGAAGTGAGCATATCGTGGTAGATACCCGGGCAAACATGTCCGATAACCATGAACCAGAAGCAACGATTTTATGTTGGCGCCTGTCGATGCTGTTCGAGAGGATATCTGTGCGGCGTGAGGGGATCGGACGTTGACCGCGTTAGTCAAGCACCGCAGCTGAGGTGGTAGGAAGACTGTCCACCCACCTGAAGTTTCTGCAAAGCACCTAAACAAACACGGTTACTGTATCTGCTGCCTGTATCTGGCTCTCATTTGCGTGGAATCAAATCTACTGACTGCATCACCAGCCCCCGCATGTGTGAACCGCCAGATCTGACCCATCAAACATTCAGGGCAACATACCTCAACCCAAGTAACCTGATCTGATACTGCAGAATCCAAAAACACTCAAGGGTACATACAAGATGGTATAGTGGTTCACAACCAATCTGATTCAATAAGGAACAGATTCCGCAGACAATGCACTATGTTACTGTATTCCTGATCGAGCCTTGATCACAGTATCAGACCTAGCTAAGCTCCATTCATTCGGTGTCAGGGGTCACCGTATTAGACCTATCCTTTGAAAATAAAGTAGTTAGGTTAGCTGGGATTGAAAATTCATTTATTATATTCTATTAATAATAATTATATTGTGCTATATAAAGGAATCTTTAATCTAAGTAACTAAGTAATAAGAAGAAAGATGCCTGTGGCAAACTGCGGTCGATTATGATCTCAAATTCTAATTCCAAATCTAGGAACTGATCAGTCAGCGGAAGCAGATTAGAAAAAGCTGAGTGAAATCTTTTTATATACTATAATTCGGGCCACGATTATTTTTCAACCACTTTTGATCGATCTGTTATCCTACCTTGTAGGATGTATCTGCGGATTAGAATAAAACTAGTTCAATATACTGCGGAATGAACTCAGCCAAAAGACTATATAAGTAAAGTATATTATAATATTCTTATCTTGAATTAGAGCTTTCTCACTTTCTTGTATTTTATATTTGGTATAAAAGCCCTGATTCTTGCTCCAGTAAAAAGGTATACTTGCAGTATAAATATAATAAATATTTTAAGAAAATTATAAAAGAAGATAGGACAGTCCTGTGCATATATAGACTTATTATAGTTAAACATGCCCGCAAGGCTGTACACAGTGACTGTTGAAGGGATTCGAAGCACTAAAACCAAAACAGAGAGCGCTAAATAATAACATCTAAATCGCTAACAATCAAAGAGATCACAAAATGAAACATCAATCGCTCAACCACAGAATCATTATACCTACTAACCTCCATCTGCGCCATATGCTAAAACACCAAATCAAATCATAAAAAGACAATTGTAATGACATCACAAACATCACTTTGCTTCAACCTGCCTCACACCCACCTGCAACATCTTGAATCCCCATTGCTGCATCTTGAACTGATCAAACACACCATAAGGATCCAAGAACACCTTCGGGCTCTGCATCTGGCTCGCAATGCCCTGCCATCGAACCTTCTCATGTCCGAACGTCTCCCAGTCCGTGTGAAGAATGACAGCACTGCATCCCGCGCATGCCGCCTCCACTGATTCAGCCACAGTGACCATCTCAAGGGACGCAATGCTCGCACGCAGCGTGTTCTCCAACTGGCCTGCGGGTATGAACGGGTCATAAATTCCCACTTTTACCCCATTCCTTGACAAGTCCCGGACCAGACCCAGCGCCACAGAATACTGATTGCTGTTCTCCTTTGGGGTAAACCCCAGGATCGCAATCTTCTGCTCCGTGAGATCGCCGGATAACTGGGACAGGACGCGTTGGGAGATACGTCGGTTGTGCGAATCGTTCATGCGCAGGACAGCGCGCCAGTACTCTGCCACTTGCTGTAGTCCTAGCTCTCGGGCCAGATATACTAGGCAGAGAACCTCGGTCTGCAAGTGCGAGCTGCCGAATCCAAAGCCGACTCGTTGCGGTAGACCCAGGGTCTGGGTTATGTGGTTGATGTTGGCGTTGGTGGATTCGCATATAGCGCTGAGCGAGTGAAGACTGCTGATTTGTTGGGCGAGGAATGCATTCGCGGCTATCTTGCCCAGTTCGGAAGACCATGCGTCCATTGTGATAATGCGCTCTTCGGAAACCCAAGGCATGTAAAGCTTCTTAAGTGCACTCAGTGCTCCGGGGGACATGTCTTCCGAGAATATGTGCCCGATGATAATGCGGGGAGGGTAAAGGAGGTCATGAAGGGCTGTGCCTGGAACTAAAAAGTCGGGATTGGATAGCACATCGAATGAAGCGGATGGAGATGCGGTTTTTCGCAACTGCGTTCGTTAGGGTTTTGTTGCTGTATTGGGAAGAACACTCACTATCTTCTTCATTCGCTGAACGACACCACATGGCGCTGTGCTCTTTTGCACGATAATCTTGTGGCCAGTTGAGACTTGAGCAATCGCTCGGATTGCAGACTCCAATTGCGACAGATCTAAGCGCTCCTTTTCGTCAATCTGTACCAATTATCAGCCTTGTCTTCCATTTGTAAGCTGGCATCTTACTGTTATAGTCGAGCTTATCTCCGAACATAGGAAGATCAGATCTGCTGCGGCCACGCCAGCGTGGATGTTTGTAGAAAATGTCAAGTTCGTGAGTTTCCTCTTTCGAGGCTGACAACCATCTGAAGCTATAGACAGACTCGGGACAGCCGACGCATCCAGACTGAGGCTTGATATCTCCTCAAACAACATCTCCTCCAACCCAGGCTCGAACACCCGGGGGCGATCGGAGTTCCACGCATCAATGAGACCCGCATCATTGTCAACGACACTGAATTGGATGTGGGGATTCTGAGAAGCGAGCACAACCGCCGTCAATGCACCTGGCCGGCATTAGCTATTCTTCTTCTAAGATACTGGACTGGTAGGCAATATCAGCGCGCTTACCCACATGTCCAGCGCCAATGATACAAGCACTTCGAACATCCTCAACTTTCTTACTCTCCAACGGCTGAAGCTCGGTCTCATCCACACTATCAGAGTAGGTATGACCCTTCACGACAACCGGCGGCTCAGCGCTCTCGATGGTCTTATAGCGGCGTCGCGAAAAAAACAAAGTTATACTCGCCAGGACGAAGAGTAGTGGAAAGAATGGCATCATGGCGGCACATCCGTATCATCAACTAATCAACAACTAACTGACCACCCTCTCTCTCTTTCTCTTCCTACTCTCTTTTTCTTTCTCACCCCTTAACCACAGACCGAAACACATGTTCAGCAAGAATTAAAACAAAGAGACAGCGAGCGAACGCGTTGTGGGTGGTTTGGGCGTGTCGTGGCCAAAAGGGCGGTCTGGTCGCAAAACTAGCCACTTCATCGCGAGCCCTCATTGCCCCGAGAAAATATCCGAATGGACTTACGGTCGCGCCATTGGACGAAGGTTGTGTCCATCTACGTGGACGTGCTCGTGGCGCAACGAGAATCCACTTTGGACTACCACTACTGAACTCCATTCCACAGTTGATTGGAACAGCGGGTCTGGATGATGATTGATTTACCTGGACCCACTCTCTCATTGAGGTGCTGTCCTATTTCAGAAAGGTAGCAGCCTCACTTTGTTTCTTCTTGGCATTATGGGTTCATGTCAGTGAACTATTTTTAATTTTATTTGGGTTGCATTTGCATGTGCTGCTTTCCAGGAAGATAATGTTTTTGTTCTTGATGCACAATTCAGTGACGATCACCAGGCAACGGGATTCAGCGTGCATTGCCCAACAACGTGGGACTGGACTGCATGAGATGCGACAGCGACGTACGTCACCAAATCATGGAAATGATGTGGTTTTTGACATGGGGCTATGAGGGTGGACAAGGGACAACATACAGTGACTGGGATTAGGATGCAGATGTGCTGGTACTAAGTACAGGAAATATGGATTAGTTGAGTTGGATGGCGGGAGCAAGAATGGCTGCTATCGAACTACAGTATCTCCCTATCCGTGATTTTACTGTTTTTTAGGGCTTCATTAGGTGTCAGTATGGAACTTGACTGATGAAACAAGATCTTGAGAATAGTAGTAGTATATCTGCCCGGAAACCCTGCGGAAGCCAAATCCATTACTTCTTGTACAATCACAGCACCCCCACAACAGGTGCGGGTAATCTTATTCAGCCTTATCCAGACGACCAGAATTGAGTTACCCTCGCATATTCCTCGATCGCCTAATCGCTTGTCTGATGGATATGTGCAGGTAATTATATACTCAATACTTGCAATCAACCTCATGATATCTCCTGCTTACTTCTCGGGGCCATCTAAAAACTCATATT